GATGGATGGATGGATGGATGGATGGATGCCACCCGCGGGAGCGGCTCTGGATGCTGCGGAGACCGGCCACGGGAAAAATCTGGGAAAGGACCAACCTTGGAGCCTCTGGCTTTCCTCCTCTTCCTCCCGCAGAGCCGGCGAGTCCTGCGGCACCGCTCGCCTTACCGAAAGGAACCTGCCCCGTCCAGTCTCCTCTGCAGTTTATTACTACATTGTCAGAGGCTATTGTCCTTTATGTGCAATGGGTGCTGGCGGTGGTGCTTCTCGCTTAGACAGAAAGAAGACGAAATTCTATTCGTTTACATGTTTTATTGTTGTAAACATTAAAATTGTCTTTCTCAAAGAAAGAGTTATCAGGAGAAAAAAAAAAAAAAAATCAGCGTTTCTAACTGTCGTACACCATAGAAAAAAAGGCAGTGACTTGTATCAGGTGCCATACTGGAAAGATACAAAGAAAAATACTACAGAATGTGGCAATATTAAAAATATTACTCGAACATAAAATAATATATTAACCGACAATTTTAGACATAAAAAAACCAGAACAAAACAAAACAAAAATTCAAAGTGCTCGGTAATTTCCAGGGAGTTATGTATATTATAAGCACTCTGGAAACAGTCAAAAGCTGCTGCATGCAAGATTTGTTTAGCTTTAGACAACAAAATAATCAAGATATAAACTTCTTTTTTAATCAACATCAACAGTACATACAACACTTACAAACAAGGAATGTTGGACGGTGTTTACAAACACTATGTGTCCCTTTGGGGAGGATTTCGGGTTTTGTAATACTTGTGCCCACCTATTTTACAATTGAGAAAATGTTTGAAGCTTAGATAACTACCAGTCTTTATAAAAGCTAACAGACTACATAGTGTCTGAAATACTATTTATAGAATATAGACATTACTGAAATAGCAAGTGCCTATAACATTGTCACCCTAGAATCATCATGCTTTCCTTGCACGGAGAGATTTATTTTTTCTTCTCTTTATTCTCCTTTTTTCTTTTTGTTTTTCTTTTTTTTTTTTTTTTTTTTTGCAAACACGCTTAGCTTTTATTTTTAATTTTTTTTTAGAATTGTTTTCCATATTTCTTCATAAATAGGCACAGAATAATTTTTAAAAAGCCAAACTGCATCTGATAAATTTACAAGCCTTCGCCTTCTTTAATGACATGCCACCCACGCAACATTTAGGGTTTGTATATATTACAGCTTTCTTTTACAGCAGAAAACTTTAGTCTTTAGGAGGGTGAGACTTGTGGGTCACCTTAACGCTTTGTCACCGTATGAGTCTTAGCTGCGCACCCGGCGTTGCCAGATATGTTCATCTTTTTAAATCAGAAGTCCTTAATAATAAATTCATTTATAAGCTGATAATAAAAAGTTTATACCATGGTATTTGTGTAGTCCATGATCTGCATCCATGATGCCCCAGAGCCAAAATGCCCATTCACGTTCTGCCCGCAGGAGTTAGCAACACTGTTGTGGGTGGGCAGCTGGCACCCAGAGGTGCTGCTTTGGGCCCAGACGAATTCCCCTTCGGACAGGCGAAGTTTCTCTTCAGTTCAGTGGAAGTGCACGGGAAGAGTCTTAAAAAGGTAAAGTGTCCAGAAAAAGTTTGTCGATTATTGCTGGCGGTGGCACCAAATCTTCCAGTTTCAGGTAGAAAATGCGTTGCAGCCCCTGCGTGCAAAGCGTGCGAAGTTCAGGGAGCTTCCCCAAGAGTTTGGACAAATAGTTGGGGCGATTCAGCCCCCCGTTATTAAAAGTCACGTGGTCTTTGAGACAATTTACAATCTTGTTTTGAAGTTCTTCCACCCTCTTGGGTTCTTTAAGCCCGTGCCTCTCTGCAAAAGAGAAGGACGCGGGACGTTACAGGTCTGGCGCGGAGGGGAAGGCGGGCGGCAGGGAAAAGGAGCTTCCCCGGGGGCGGGGGGCCGAGCGGGAAGGAGAGGACACTGACCTGTGACCATAGCCAGGGCAGCGATGCAAGAGAAGGCAGAGATATCGATGTTCATGTTTTGCAAGTTGGAGGAAAATTCAACAATGGAATCGATCCACTCCCCAAAGCCACGGACGCACTGCAACCGGTGCAGGACTACCCCGTTGCAGAAGATAAGCTTGCCCTCCACTGGATTTGACCTGGAAGGAACGTGACAACCCCAAAATGAACAGATGAATGAATGAGTAAGAAAGAAAAAAAAAAAATAGATTGGAAGGGAAAAAGAAAGAAAAGAGAAAAAGAAAGACCAAAGATTAAAAAAGAAAAAGAGGAGAGAAAGGAGGAAAAGAGAGAAATAAAGATAGAAAGCAAGAAAGAAAAATACAGTAGAGAAGAGTGAAAGGGAAGAAAGAAAGGTAAAGAAAAATATTTAAAAAAAAAGGAAAAAGAAAAGAGAGGATTGGGGGGGAGAAAAGCTAAACAACTAATTACTTGAGGAGCAATAAATGAAGGATTTAAGAGGCACCTAATTACTGAGGAGTTAATAAAAACGCAGATCAGTGGACCTTGAAAGGATCTGATTCCATAACCGCCCAGAAGTTCCCCCCTCGGCTTCTGGCCTTTTTCCAGCCGCAGCACGAAGAGCTCCAGGAAGGCGGATTCAAAGAGCAGGTCCTGGTCCGTTTTGGGAAGATCAGTGAAGCCGGGAATTTTTTCTGCCCATCCTCGGATGATCTCCATGGAGCCGGTCAAGAGATCATAGAACTGCTGGATGTGCTGAGTGTCGTCTCCGCTCATCTGGTAGTCGGGGTTAGCCTGGAACTGGAAATTCATTTTAAAAAGCACTTAATGAGGTTCTCTAAAGTATATAACCCGTGAAATTGCTAACCCCGTTTCTAGTCGGGGAGCCAGGTTTTCATAACAATTAAACCTCTCTCTGACCAGTGAGGAAATTAGATGTTCCGGGGCAATTAATTCAATTAGGAGCGGCGCTACGAGGTCGCCGCTCTCCGCACGCAGAGGGCGGTTTCTGCGCGGCCCGATCCCGGGGCGGCCAGCGCGGC